CACGGACACTACGTCCATGTTTTTATACAGTCTATGATTTTAGCTTATGTCCTGCCAGTTCATATGTACACATCTAACCTCATAACCACGCAGCAGATTCGTTCTGAAATGGAATGAATCTCTTCCCAAATCGTCCCTCCCTAACATTTTCGTCTTGTTTTTATTCGTTGACGAAAATGTCAATACATTTTCATCATAGTTTTTGTCATTCAAAAAGAATTTTAGTTCATTATCGTCTCGTTGTCGTCAGTGAAAAAAATGTCTTTGACGAACATTATGACGAAAATTATTCGTCAATGAAATTAACACTGCTCTGAGGTACTACTGAGAATATAGTATTGTTTCTTACATGGAGATTCCAGTGGAGTTTGTTGTTAGCATGTTGCTAAGCTAATAGCATGATACCCCAAAAAGCATACGCAGTACAATGCTGGGTAAAGAACAATCTCAAACAATTTCATTGCTTGTCAGTATTGAATAAATTATAAATTTATAGTCAGAATTTCTTTATCCACCGTCTTAGATGAAAACTGCTAAAGTGCTAATTAAGCCTTAAGTTTAGCTTCCGTATACTCTCACTCACTATTCCCTACATTGCTTCACTAATATGTCCATTGAATAAGTGAATGAAAACAAGAGATTGAATTCAGAAAATGAGTGGAAATTCATTTGTGCATGGGTATTTTCTAGCAGCCAACTGTTGAGCGCACATTGGTTGTACACTGTTGAGGTGCATTATGGGACTGAATGAGTTTACTCAATATTGTCCATTATGGTTTTGGATACCAATACAAATGTCTGCAGAATACAAACCAATGCATTTTTTTAAAAACATTCTGGTGTCTGTGATTGGTCCATCTCTCAAATGTTTATTTTGTCCATGGCTAGGCCTCTTTCTTCTTGACAAACATGGCAAAAGCATACAGTTGTTATTAAAAAATGAATGCTTTAATGCACACTGTGTATTCTTCGCATTGTCAGTATACATTCACCTTGAAATCCTGCTGACATAATGCAGCGGAAAATCCCACTTTTGATGCCACATCCATCACATTGGATTACTGACGACTGAGAACTCGAATAATAACTCGAACACAGAATAATCTATGACAAAAAATTGTCTCAGAATGCCATTTCTACCTCATTCGCTTAAGCTCTTAAAAATTAAGAAATAGGGTGGTTTTGATTATCTATATGTTTTATGGCTGTAGATTCTCTTGGTGGAGTTTAGCTTTAGCGTTAGCTTTCCCCGAGCCCATCTGCGCAAGACCAAGCCCACACTGACATGCTTTACAAAGACTCTTGAAGTATTTATCTAGACGTCCGACCAATCCAATCAGTGTCCCATTTAGCCTGTCAAGGATTTAGATGTCCAGGGAAATTTGTTGGATCTGAATGGAAGAACAGAACATATGATGTGGTGATTTACGGTCGTGGATGAATATGGTGTGATAAGCTGTGATGGTCTCTTGGGGTCTGTAGCCGCATGCTGGCGGCATCAAGCGCTATCAGGAGGTCTGTTTGCATTTGGATGAAGGACAGAAAGTACAGATTTACAGTTTGTATTGACAGTAAGCCTCTGTTTTTTTTATTTTTTGGTTAGGGTTTCAGTTTATTACATTTCAGATGGATACACTCAGGACATCCGTTCAATCCACAACTTTAATTAGTGGTGCTTGTTAAGTTTTCGTTTTTCTGTTTGGCGGCTCAGAAAATGGGTGAAAAGAATACCACAGCCCATTTTTTCCACTGTTGTTTAGTGCATGAAACTGCTGTTATGATATTTTAAATTGTTTATTACGGTACAGATTGAATTATGAGCAAAGGGATGATATTTATTGGGCTTATCATGGTTGAGGTTCTAATAGGTCCCAAACTGACCTCAGATCAGGTCTGAAATGTTTCATTAAGAGAGCAGCAGTTAGAATAAACTCAATGAGTGCAACTCCGATAACAACAACTGGCTGGATGTATTTATCTCTTGGAGCTGGAGGTTGGTGTGTGACCCCAAATACTCCAGCCTACAGCATTAAATGAGTTTATAAGAAAGGGAAAACAGGAAAAATGGCTCAGCTGAGCGCATCCCAGCGGAAGACGGTCTCTCTGTCCCAGAGCACCAAGCACAAACCCTAGGGACATGGAAAGGGGATGCAATCTGTCCATGATGTGCACTAATGTGCTATATACCTTATGTGGGCAGTGATTTTACATTCGCTGTGTAGTTTCTGTGGTTTTAGTTTCTACTTTTAATGTGTTTTTAATCAAATTGGCTTCACTCTAATTTCAAAAGTTATTTTGTATATACTATATTCACTTTTAAATGTATTAACAGAGAGACAAATAAAAAACACAACCCTGGTGTTGATACAGCCAAGCTCCCCTACAGGAATTATTGCTCATAACTATTGCTGGAATTAATATTAATAATATTATATCTGTCAGTTATCTAAAATTAGTATTCTTGTATTTTTTGTTTTATTTTATAAATATTCTAGTAATAATTTTTGTTATTTTGTCAAATATCATGTGATGTTTTAGTGGAAGAAAAAACAACTAATACCACAGAACAACCCCCCAAATCAATTGCCAATAGTAATAGTGATATTTATTCATTTATTTATTTATCTCACCAAAATATGGAACAATTTAGTTTTAAAAGGTGTAATGAAAAGCTTTTGAAAATGCAGCCCTAAGTGTGATATTATGCTAAGAGAAAACATCTTTTAAAATGGTTAGTTAAATTTTTATCAAATATATTATGACATGAAAGGACACATATAGGAATATCTTAAAATTTATCTGCTTAATTTTCACTTTTGTTGTGTGTTTTTGTGCTGTACTGTGTCGATCAAGTGTAATTGCTCAGATGTGCTTTGCCCTGTGTTCGTACCCCTGTCTTTTGCTTTTGTGTTTTGTGTGTGAGACTTTTTACATTGTAAATTAAACGTGAGTGTGTGTGTGTGTGTGTGTGTGTGTCAGAGCAGCATGGTGAGCAGATGGCTTAGAGAAAGCCACAGAAAGTTTAATCCTATCAGATGGATTCATGCGTCTCCATCTGCTTAATCCAGCTACCATTTCAGCCTCCGCCAAAAACCTCCACTCACGCCAAGATTACTGCCACAGATTGCACCTCATCTTCCCTGCTTTACCACCCCACCAACGGCCAAAGTGTGTGCGTGTATGTCTCATTTCACCCTCCAGGTCTGGATTTCTTTCCTTTCTAGTGTCTGACACAAGCATGACATGTAAAAAGAGAAGATTAACGTGTTTACGGAACACGAGAAGTTGTTCTTTTCAGTAATCTAAAGCTGTTTGTGATTAGGACTTTGGGATGTTTTTCAAATTACAAAAAGGGGGGGGGGAGACAAATATTGGCCACAGATTAAGCTTTTGGCCTTTGAGCTTTTAAATATGATAGCTTTTTGAAATTTAATAACCAAATGATTGGTATTTCCCAATTGTGGCAAGCCTTTGTATTTGAGAGCCCAGATTTTTTTTTTTTGTTGAAAGATTTAAAGAAGTTTTACTTGAATTATTTTCCAAATTCCAAATGACTGACATTTATCACTTTAACAGATATAATTGCATTATATAATACTTAACAAACCATTAGTTACAAATTGTAGTCATTAGTTAAAAATGCTTTATATAGTCACTATACAATAGTCACTGTGTAATGACAAATAAAACAAAAATAATAATGAATTAATTCAATAATAGTAAAATAATCATAACAATTGATAGTTCATTATTGTAATGGTATCAATGATCATGACATGATCATGACATGACAAACTGCAAAATAAATTGTTGTGGAAATATTTTAAAGAATTTGAATACCCTTAATTCTACATATACGTTCTACACATCCCTGACCCCTTACTTGTTCATTTTTTAAATATGTTGGCTAATTTGAGTTATAAGTATTCTCAGCTCCATTGGATATGTTTGACCACATTTAAATCCATTCCAGTGGATTTAAAATAAACAAACAAACAAACAAACAAATAAATAAGAAAATAAGAAAATAAGAAAATTTATTTATTACTGAAAACACATTTATTACTGATTTACCCATAAAATCAATGCTGAAAAATATGATTAATGAAATGTATTATACTATTTTAGTTTAATTCTAAATCATCATTTATTATACTATTTTTTAAATTCTATATCATTTTTTAAGTGTTCTACTTATTTCAGCCATCAAACATTGTTAGCACTTCTTAAAAATGTTTGTATATATATATGTATATAATATTCATTGTTCATTATAATATTCATTGTTCATTTTTTAAATATGTTGGCTAATTTGAGTTATAAGTATTCTCAGCTCCATTGGATATGTTTGACCACATTTAAATCCATTCCAGTTGATTTAAAATAAATAAACAAACAAACAAACAAACAAACAAATAAATAAGAAAATAAGAAAATAAGAAAATTTATTTATTACTGAAAACACATTTATTACTGATTTACCCATAAAATCAATGCTGAAAAATATGATTAATGAAATGTATTATACTATTTTAGTTTAATTCTAAATCATCATTTATTATACTATTTTTTAAATTCTATATCATTTTTTAAGTGTTCTACTTATTTCAGCCATCAAACATTGTTAGCACTTCTTAAAAATGTTTGTATATATATATGTATATAATATTCATTGTTCATTATAATATTCATTGTTCATTTTTTAAATATGTTGGCTAATTTGAGTTATAAGTATTCTCAGCTCCATTGGATATGTTTGACCACATTTAAATCCATTCCAGTTGATTTAAAATAAATAAACAAACAAACAAACAAACAAACAAATAAATAAGAAAATAAGAAAATAAGAAAATTTATTTATTACTGAAAACACATTTATTACTGATTTACCCATAAAATCAATGCTGAAAAATATGATTAATGAAATGTATTATACTATTTTAGTTTAATTCTATATCATCATTTATTATACTATTTTTTTTAATTCTATATCTTTTTTAAGTGTTCTACTTATTTCAGCCATCAATCATTGTTAGCACTTCTTAAAAATGTTTATATATATATATATATATATAACATATTTTACCATATTCAAATCCATTCCAGTGGATTTCAAAATTTTAAAATGAAAATAAAAAATAAAATAAAATAAATGTATTACAGATTTACCTATAAAACCAATGCTGAAAAATTACTGATATAATGAAATATATCATACTTTTTTTTCTTCTATTTATTTCAGTCATTAATCATTGCTTGTGCTTCTCATAAATGTCTTGTTGGACCTCATGCGTCTGATCATTAGGCACTGCTGACATGTTTCTCATGCTGCTCGACTCTTCATGTTCACTGTAACAGCTCAGCTTAGCCTAGCAAGGTTACAGTATATCTTACCTGACTTGCATCTCACAGTGTGTGGATCTAACAGTCACGCTGGCCCATCACAACCCTTCCTCTCTTTATATCTCATTACTGTGAGTGACGCTTTGGCATTTGGGAGCTAAATGCAGGTAAACGGCGGCTGGCTAAATTGCTTTCTTTGCCCCCTGCTAGCACGAGACTCTGCGTCTCGGAGGGGAGCAGACAGCTCTAATAAGCAAACTGACCTTTCTCCGTGGTGGTCCCTTTCTCACTCAGCCACTGATCCACAGCCGCCGCGGAGAGCAACAAACAGAACACGCTAAACGAGCCGCTGTACCTCGAAGCCCGGTGACAAAAACATGTGTCTCCTACAGCAGGAGGCCTAAGGTCACCTTATTTACACCAAGACATACAACCGCACTTTAATGGTAATGTCTACTCTTAGGATACTTGAAGAATTGATAAGCAGTTTGGCTGTGGGTTTTTAACCAAATAACAATTTACGATCTTACTCAAGATCTGCTGACATTCTCACGAGTTTCACTAGTGTTCAATTCTACAAAAAGAGTTTCTGTGGGCACTTTTGGCCATGTGGACTTTTTGGAAAATAATGGTTCTTGAGACATTTTTCACACTCTCTTTTCGAACATTTATACCACATTTTACACGTTTTAAAATAAAATGTCCAATTCTTTTGTCTTTCTGAGGCCAATTTTGAAGCTTAATTGGAATTTAAATACTGTCAAACTTTACAGTATTTTTTTAAACTTAAAAAAAACTCTTTGTTTAGATTATTGTAGTTTATATAAAACACGGTAACACTGTATTTTACAGTGTCCTTGTTACACATCTTACTTGTTCTGACTATAGTAATAACAGTAAATTATGCATAATTATAAGCAATTAACCCTAACTAAACCCTAACCCTAACCCTAGTTATATATTAAGTACATGTTCTTAATTAACATTACTCATTATATGTTTTATAATTACACTGTAATAAGGACACCTTAAAAATAGAATGTAACCAAACATGTAAAAATGTGCATATTTATGGTGGATTTTCATAATTAAAAATCAAGAGTCTGGGACGGGGTAAAACAATAAAGTGAATAATAAAACCATGATAAAAAGTTTCCAAAACAATAGTTTCCAATCATTTTAATGTTGTCTTTGGACATTAGTGGACATTACACTATGGACATTGAAAGTGCAGCATAAAAAGTTGAAGAAACACCCAAAAACCAATGCCAAAACTATCCTAAATCACAACATCAGCCTTGGAATTAGGATTTCATCATCAACTGTGACTTATTCCTGAGTAACAAATGATTTGTACAGTAGGACATACAGTACTGGACACTGAGCTATTGAGGTTTTTGCATCTTTCTAGCTATAAAAGAGTAAATCTATTGGCAGTCCTGCCCATAATTTGAGGCGATGTCTCACTTTTCTGCTACAACCCAAGCATTTCCTTACTGTGCCCTCAAAGTATGGATATGCCAACTCGGGCGTATAGAGTTGGATGGGAATTCTTGGTGTAAGTGATCCCTTGTTTTTATGCCTAATGTGTGCTACGAGAGCTGTGAAAACCACCAACACTTTTCCAGAGCCTGTGGTATGGGACTCTTAGTTGAATCCAGCTGTGTGAGCTTTCTTAGTGACATTTGTGTGTTTTTGGTTTCCTGTTTTGGCCTTGAAATAAGAGACTGAGAGGTGTCAAGACTTCCCTTAAACTGCATTCGGATGGCACCTTTAACCCCGAAATCTGCAACCCTCACACTAATGTTGATCCTGAATGTTAGGAAGTTCTCAACGAAACCTCTAATCATGGTCAAGTAATGCTAATATTGGATAACTACACTAAGCACAGATGATTAAAGTCGATTTTCATTCTTCTCCTTTCTTTAAATTGGTCCTGTGGCGTTTCTGGAAGCAGCTGCACCTTGTATCAAAGCCATTAGTCCCAGTGAAGGCTGGACAACAGGAGGTGCTACTGTCATCATCATCGGAGACAACTTCTTCGACGGGCTGCAGGTCATCTTCGGAACCATGTTAGTCTGGAGTGAGGTGAGTTTGCAAGTCATATTGCCATCTGTCCAGCTGAACTTTGCTTTTTCTCACTGCTTGTCGCTACAGTGTGATCTCATTAGTAATTATAGGTATTTATACACAAAGCATGGTTCTTACACTTTTGTATGATTACATTGACAATGAAACATACATTATTAACATACTGACAGCGTCTAAAACTTAAACACATTGTATGAAACTTTAGAGACATAGAAGAGTTTTCGAACTAAAATCATTGTCACCTTAAAATTTTGTTGTCTATTACTTAAAATGTATAAAATTGAGGTTAGGCTTAGGACTCAAAAAGTATAATGGTAAAAAAATATAAGAACAGAAATATACATAAAATAAATTCAATATTTCCTAAAGATATTTATGTTGCTAAAGCTGTGTATTAAAGCCCACATATTATAAATAAATAAATTAATTAAATAAAAAAATAAAATAAAAAAATAACAAGTCATAATTATGATAAAATAAAAAGTCAGTAATTAAAAAAGTAATTAATAAAAAGTCACAATTCTGACATACTAAGTCATATAAGATAAAGTTATGATTATGAAACAAAAACTAGAAATTTACATGTTGTAAGTTGAAATTCTGACAAGTTGAAAAATAGGCTGTCATAATTATAACAAAATATTTTAATTATGAGATAAAAGTCATAATTTTGTGCTTAACAGTCATATTACGCTTGTAAGTCAGCAGTAACTTTTTGTCTCATAATTTTTGTTATAATTTCAACGTTTTATCTCATAATTATTGGTAGGAAATAGCTTTCATATACAGTATATGTTATTAGATGCTCATTTAAATGTACATCCAAATATACAAAGAATGTATTGTTGACCATAATGCTTTAATTTTCACATCACCACATTCTTTAATAAAGGCGGGCGTACACGGTGCGTTTTTTGCTGTCGTACGAGCTCGCAGGCGATTTTTTTCTCTCGGGAGAAAATCGCAGATGCTCGCATGGTCGCGGCTCGTACCGTGTGAGAAGAATTATGGGCCGATCCGAGAACGTTACGAGCACCTCCCGTCCTCCCGATAATTTTCAAACATGTCAAAAAAAAAATCAGATGCTGTCGGTTTAAATTCGTGGCATATGTGCGGTTGAACGAGACGATTTGGCGATCCATCTGAAGTTGACCAATCAGAAGATGACAAAAACCACATATTATGTTTATAAATAGTCTATATAGTAATTTTAGCATAATTATACAGCTCAATTTTTTATTTGTTATTCTGAATTGTGCCAAATTTGCCGTTCAGCTTTATGAATTAATATGCCTGTTGTATTTCCGGCAAAACGAGCAGAAATTCAGAAATAGCCTACTCGCCTCGAGTTGTTTATGAAGAACAGAAAGTCCATGCTTTTCTCTGCTTTTCAGCCATTCTCTTTGCCATGACATTAATCTTCGTTTCTTTTTTTTTTTGTGGACGTCACAAGCCATAGCTGCCTGCCACAAAGAAAACTATTTCGTCCTCAGAATCCATATTTTTATAAATGGCGTGAAACGTAATGCTTAGGCCTACGTCAGAGTTTGTAAAATCGTAGTAAATTTGTGTCGTGTGTGACTGTCTCCGTACAATTTTCGGAAAACTCAATCGTGACATGTGCGAGGGCTCACGCCGTTCCAACCTTCAGAATCGCACCGTGTACGCCCGCCTTAAGTAGTGATAGCTTAAGAAAGAGGTAAAGACACTACATAAACATGTACATGTAGAAAACATGATATTAGCGGAATAATTTACTTTTTTACACTTTAGACTGTTGCGTTATTGTTGCGCATGCTTGTGTCATGACCGCTTTGCCACCTAAGGTGTATGGTAATTCAATGGCCCGTTGTCAATTATTCCTTACATACTATTTTCAAAAAAATTACATTTGGAAAAATTTGATTAGTCAAAGTTCAAATAGTCTACATTTAGTTTAGTGATAATGATATCTTAAATACAACATTAATAAAAGTCCTCCAGTGTTGTTGGCTTAATGCAGTTACATCTGTCACCTTTCCAGAAGCTGTCAATGACACCCATTGTCCTATCCGAATACATTAGCGTTGTGCTAGGCCGACATTATGCAGGTGATTTAGTTACTGTGCTTAAGTGATTAAGAAATGTGATACTTTCAATAGCTGCTCAATTGTTTTGACATGTCTTTGTACAAGAAACTGAGCAGCTTGTTTAACGCTGGCTAACTGCTCAATAGCGGCGGCTTTAAATCAGTGGTGGCCAATCACATACACAAACACATTGATCTGGAGTCTTTTGTAGTACTTACTCACTTCAGACCGCCACTCTTCATGAGAACTACTGAGTGTTCATCAAGCACCAACCCTGATACAAATTTACCACTGCATATTCAGCTAACCTCTTTGATCTGCTGATGCTAAGTGCTAAACGAGCTAATGACTGTGTGTGTGTGTGTGTGTGATGAACTACATCTGGTACCGATTAAATACACTGTGCTGAAATCTCCCTATAGCGGTTCCTGTGGACCTCATAACCTTGTGACCTTTACCTCCTGACCCCGTGACCCCCGTACACGGGGGGCCCATCAAGAGCCACGTAGTTCCCTTCTGCTGCAGTGTCAGCGGGGATCTGATTACCACAGATAGCATCTAACGAGGGAGGAAGAGAACAAGAGCAGGGGAGGGTCCAAGGAAGATCTGTTTCTTTCATTTCTTCTCCTCCTACCCATTCACCGTCTTCTGAACACAGTCATTTTTGTCTGTCGTTCTCTAATAGCAGCATTCATTAACATTGTGCTCTGAAGACATCCTTTTGTGGACTTCTAAGGGACCTTGTGTCTTTCTATAGCATGTGCAGTACTGTAGTAGTCAAACGGGCAGTTAGGAGGAACAAATAGCCACTAACCAAGGGTGCGTTTCCCAAAAGCAACTATGGTTGCAAGTTCCGTCGTTATCAATAGAGTTCAATGGAACTTAGCACCATAGTGAGCTAGCAATGCTTTTGGGAAACTCACCCCAGACAGAGTACATACTGTGATGACTGTACTGGATTCAATTTAAACTTCAGTAACACTTTAGAATAGGAAACACATTCACTATTAACTAAGGTTAAATTTGAACTATTTTCCCCCAATAATCTTGCTTCTTAGGTAGTTTCTGTAGTTATGTTTATGTATGGGATAGGCTTAAGGGACCTAGAATATGACCATGCAGAATAAGGCATTGATATGTGCTTTAGAAGTACTAATAAACAGCCAACATGCTAGTAATGTGCATGTTAATAAGCAACTGGCTAATAGTGAATAGCAGTGTTCGAACTATACCGTGGACTTTGGGGGAGCCCACTTGTTGGAGAGGATCTGCAAGGAGGAATGGCAGAGGATCGCCAAATCCAGGTGTGAAAAACTTGTTGCATCTTTCCCAAAAAGACTCATGGCTGTATTAGATCAAAAGGGTGCTTCTACTAAATACTGAGCATTTTTCAGTTTTTCTTTTTTAATAAATTTGCAAAAATGTCAACAATTCTGTGTTTTTCAATCAATATGGGGTGCTGTGTGTACATTAATGAGGAAAAAAAAATTAACTTAAATGATTTTAGCAAATGGCTGCAATATAACAAAGAGTGAAAAATTTAAGGGGGTCTGAATACTTTCCGTACCCACTGTATATATATATTTTTTTTTTATCACCGAAAACAATTTTTTAATAGCACTGGCATTGCCCAGACATTTGCATTTGCATACTTGTCATAAGTGAATGATCTGGAATACTCTAAATAGGCACAAACTCTGAGACACCAAATATACAATTCATTCACATTGATTCCAGTTTGACAGTTTGCTAAGCTAACAACATATAAATACTGGGTAAAATGGTATATTTTTATTTAGATTGACTTATTCTAGTGATACTTTTAGTGATAGCATTGGATTAGTTTTGTAGTCAACAGTCAATTTCACTAGTGTGCTACTCCTACTTTTCCTGCCACTTGAAATGAATGTGCTATTCTGAATTCAGTCAGCATTTCTCTTGACTCCTTTTGCCATTTTGGATTTATTTTTCACAATTTTTTTGCATTCTATGATTGCCTTTACTAGAATTTGGCCGCTATGAGCACAATTTTGCTGGCTACATTTTGGAACGCTTTTGCATCCGGAGTGCGTCTAATGCCATAAATGCTGTCAAGCTAAGTTCACTTGTTTACTGTTTTGAAATTAAGTTTATGACTGTGAGAGACAAATGTTCAAAGATGTTTTAGACAACAGCTCATATGAACCACATGCACACAGACTTTGAGATGCTGAAAGACAGTGTGCTGTTAATTACGTCTCTGAGGAGCTCCACCTGTCCTCTTCCAGCCTTCATCTACGCCATCCCTTCACCACCCACCATAAACAGCCTGATACAGATTAGACTAGATTCATACACTCACGTACAAACACACATATGGCACACACACAGTCAGATTGTTTACTGATCAGAACTGGATCAAAGAACATAATCAGCCAGGGCAAATGAACAACTTTTGCCAACAAAGTTTTTCTCAGAACTAACTTCACTGTTCTGAGACTTTTTTCATTAACTTTTGTCAATGTGATTTTTAGTGTCAGTAGCTATCTGTTGCCTTTCATTTCACAGCACAGGATAGTCACTAGTCAAGTGATTGTGTTTGTTCATTATTTTCCTGAAGCTTCAGAGCTATTATTTAGTCACATGGCATTTACGGCACTAATGATTGGCTCAAAACAACCGAACTTCAGAACTGAGCGCCCATTGTCAAAGATGGTAGATTTCAATTCTCCTTCCTGTGCCAGCCAAGCAACTGCCATTGAGGGGAACGGAAATGCCAGGTATCTCCAGGTAAAATAGACCTCCTTGAGTCTAACGTCCTCTCTCTATCTCATTTTCTCCTCACAGCTCATCACGCCTCATGCCATCAGAGTTCAGACCCCTCCACGTCACATCCCCGGGGTGGTAGAGGTCACGCTCTCCTATAAGTCCAAACAGTTTTGCAAAGGCACACCAGGAAGATTCATCTACACAGGTAAGCTGTTCATCTTAAAACAAGAAATGGTAACATTTTATTTTACGGGGTCCTTGTTACACGTACATGTTCTTAAACCCTAATCCTAACCATATAGTAAGTACATGTAGTTAATATTACTCAGTACTTAAATGTATAATTACACTGTAACAAGGGCACTTTAAAATAAAGTGTAACCCAAGAAACTTTTAACTTGATTTAGTATTCTCATTACAAAAACAGGTTGGTCACAGAAGAGGTGTGCTATTACTTTTTCAAATGCCATTAAAAAATAAACTTCCCCTTGCTCTGGAGGAGGAACCTAAGTTATATCTAGAGAAAGGAATAGACTAGAACCAAACAAACGTGCAAACCCCATTTGCATTTCCTTCAAAAAATGTTAAAATGTTACAAGTATTTCTATTATTAAGGTTATAAGTTTCTATGCAGTGAACAGTATTTTCCAAATATTTGAGTATGTACAGGATGCATAAAATCCTATTCATATTTCTTTTTTAAAAAATCCACTTTTATGTAAAGAGATATGCATAGGATTTAATAAAACATTTTCTCAAGATATGTATTTTGAGAATAAATATGGATTTTTTGTATAGAATGCATATAATTATTTGCTATATGAAGGACTGCTGTTGATTTTTCTCACAAGCACACACACAAAACCACACTCTGTTAAGAAGTACAGCTTTGTTAGCTTAATTGCTGTTGATGGAGAAAATATAACAGCTAATGCTCATAAAACCTGTTACAGTTAAACAAGCTGCATTTTATAGGCGACCATATTGAAGCCATTTAAACAGTGAAACAAACTGACAAACTGTGCAGCTTACATGAAACCATTAATGCGTAAATATGCAAACAAACACAAAACTTCCTCAGTTAAGTTTGGCCTAGTAGACTCACACACAAATTACAAAATTACAGATTTCTGTTCTATATATACTGTGTACACGGTATGAATATACACTGCTGGACATGTTTATACACTGTATTTAACTGTTAGACAAATTCAATATTTTAAAATTGTAAAAATATTACAAAATTACGCAATACAGCGCACTGATTCGCTAAAATGGACTTATCGGCTTCTGTTCAAAAACAACAAGAGCGCTTGTCGGCTTCTGCAGTAAAACGTGAACTCGCGATGCCTTGAAAGTTGACAAAACCGGCTTTTTTGACAAAACATGTTTAGGGTTCAGATCGTGCTATATGTGGAGAATAATGCACGGCAATCAGCTCTTTTTTTTTTTAAGTGGCGTTTATCGGTTTTTGCAAATGAACT